TATCGTCGAAAACTATTATATAGACGGAGAGGAAATACATTAAAAACATCCTAGGCTTCTCTCCTTAATTATCAATTACACATCGTTATTCTGATGACAGAGAAGACAAACATTGTCAACAATTTAGCGATAAACGTTCCAATGTCTTGAAAACATATATTATTTAAACAGGGATGATTACCATTATATGACATTGTAACTTGATAACCCCAGCAAGTTCGAATGGTATTCATATTGACTTTGAATGCCATGGCCAACGTGTTGATGACATCATTATTATGACGTCATAATTTTTATGTTGAATAACACTGTTTCTCCAATTAAAATATTTCTTTTATTTATTAAAGAAACACACATAATAAATAAAAAAAAATCATACATACGCTTACTTTCTTTAAATAAATTAAATTGTCTACGAGATTAAAGTGGTTTAAATGGTGAATATTAGTATGAGACAGCCTTTACAGTCAATGTCAATGACAAATGGAAGTTGGCGAATTCAACATAAAGCGCTTGCGTGTTTCCATGGATTTATGTGAATTTCAATGAGTTAAACTAGAATTTCGATCATGAAACTGTTCTGGACATCTTGACAACACAAAGTCGTTCGCTTTGACTTAGATCAGTTTATGTCATACAAGGAACTTGAGATTTAAGTTTGTTCTGTGCATAGGTCGTTGCTTATCTTTTAATATTAAAAGGAGGGTTTTGTTAATGTTATTTACGGTACCATAACAGTAATTGGAGCAAATGTACAGAGATCTGCGTATGCTGACTACGTATAGTTAGAGATTGCCAAGTATATATATATGTATATCGTCCGACTATTTCTCCTCAACAGTGAATATTTTATTTATTTGTCCTGGGGTCAAAGGTACTGACTATGTTTATCAGAGCGATTACATTATGATTGATGTTAAGTCCTTGGAAGAGTAAACTTGCCATGAATAAATGTCAGCATTTTTGTCATGAATTATCCCCGTATTACGTATTTTATTTAAATAATCAACATCAATACTTAATGCAAAGACTCATTCTGCATAAGACAAAGCATAAATAAAGTGTATTATGAATAAGCTTACCTGGCGTAAAACCTGACAATTAGATGATCTACAACTAGACTTCATCTAGTGAACCATATTGTGTTAGAAAATAACATTCATCCATATTTTGCGTGGGTGAAATGCTATCAGAATTACCGATAACAACTCACAAGGTCATTAGCAGTCGAATCTGCCAAATATTCATTTCAATTTTTGTATAGTCTAAGAAATCTAGAAATCATGTTATATGTCACATGTCATGAACAACTTGAATGGGCTTCTTCCCAGGAATTTAGAATGGAGATTTCAGATTGACAGTGCAAATGATTTTGATAAATGCACATATGATTTGCAAGTTGATATGCACAAAAAGCAAAAATATGTGCAAACACACTAAACCAGATTTAAGATGTGTTTTGTTATAGTGACATAAGATCTTATAAAATCAATTACAATTTAATTCATGTGAATATAAACGTTATTTACTTTACAACAATTATGAAACAAGTAAGTTCAACTTATTTTAATCACTCTTGTTGGCGTAGGGTCTTAATGTGGGTGGAAACCGGAGTACCCGGGGAAATCCCACGTGGCCGGCCAGGTGACCCTATACCTTTGCACGTCCGAACGGGGAATCAAACCCTGGTCGCTTTGGTGAAAGACGGGTGCGCTGTCCACTGCACCACCGACCACCCATAACTCATACGTGTTGCGTAATATATACTGTGACATGATGATATCTTCTCTTGCCAAGGGTTAAGATCCGGTCTATCTACTCTTCAGAGCAGAGAAAGTAGACCGGAACGTAACCCCTGGCTAGGAACGATGACATGACGGAAACACTGAGAACACTTTATCGTCTTTCAACCTATATGAACTTGATTACCATGATAAAACAGTGAATTTTAAACCTTGATTTGGAGTTTTAAATATTTTAATGTATATTAATCATGTCATAGAAACAAAATAATAAATACTTGGATTAGTATAGTTTTAAATTCTAACCGAACAAGACATGGTCCCTTGTGTATATTGCGTAATGCTGACACTGATAGCAAAATGTTTACAATGTATCATTTGATCAAATCACCTGGTTACAAACTTCGCCATCACGGTTCTATAATAAAATGACATAAATAAGTATGAAACATAAATTCGACAGTGTTAAAAGTGTTGTGATGATTAATTCGGTTGGTTTTGTTTTGTGTGTGTGTGATTTTTGTTTTCATTTTAAAATTAATATTAGATCACAAAACAAAACTGTTATATTCATATGTAAATGGGTGTGCGTGGTAGGGCGTGAGGGCTTGCTTTAATATGAATGCATGCATTTTAGTTTACAATCTGTTTCGAATTTGAATAAAACGCCATCCAAACAATCGAAGATGTTGTCAATCACCTCCGTCTTCAACACCAGTGACTGACATATGGTTTCTTTTTTCATCGTATAACATTGTTACTAGGGTTTGGGATGTAGACAATCGAAGATATTGTCAATCACCTGTAGACTTCATAAGTGATGTAATATTGAATGAAATATTAACCAGTATCCCTCTACTTGTAGAGCAAAGCGCACTCTATATTGATTTCACGCTTAGTCCGTTTCGGAATCACTGATGTGAAAGGGAAAATACCGATGTCTGTCCAATTCATTTTGTAAAATCCTTTGCGTTTTTGTTTTGTGCATTATACTTCACTCATGTAGAGTAGTCATACTGGATCGTTGTTTGTAATCGTGATAATTATTTTTTCTCTCAGTTTGTTAATATGCATAGTTTTTACAAACCTGTTTTAAGAGAGCACAACCCATGACATATTCAAAAGTGTTTATTAACCTCTTAACACATGTTCATTTCCATGGAAATTACTAAAGTAAGAAATTTTGTTAACAAGTGGTCTCTTTGACATTGTTCAACAAACAACCATTACCTATAATGTATGCACGTAAACCAGAAGTTTTGAAGGTAGTGATAACAAAAACTATCACCTGGTAAGGGTTTGATTGTTCAATTGATGTCAAGTCATCAACATGATGTTTTTATAAATCTTGATTATGCTACTGCATGCATCTGTACTTCAGTTTCATAAAACGATGATAGATAGCCTTGAACCAAAATAAGATGTACAATCTTATGTCAATGTTCAATAAACACTGCGGTGACAATGCCCTATATATATATGGTAATTTAATCAATGTTAAATATGAAGTAGGTAATGTCAACAACCAGCCACAGGTAAAACTAATATTATCATAATTTGCAATGTTATCACAAGGGATTATTATGTAAAATTGTTTCTTTGAAGACACCTGCTGCAAGCAAATTCCATCTACAATATTTGAAATACGATTATAAATCAATTTGAAAATGACATTTTTAAAAGTTATATAAACAGATAATAAACAACTACATCTGATAGAGCCACTATCAAATCAAATACTCCAGACACTAGAGTGCCCTTTTTGTATAGAAAGTGTCCCACTAATCTAGACGTATCACAACCCGGCTTCTTTTACTGGTTAATAGATAGATGGATTCTTGAGTTTCTGTTGTATTGCAATCTTATTGTTTTGCTTAAAACCAAAACCAAAATGTACACGTGGAAAAACAAAACAATGTTTCTTATAGTGAAATATATATTAAGAGTTTCATGTGAAAATATTCGCTAAACCCATTTACATGTATTCTCAGTTATCAACAGAAAGAAAACTTCCGTACTCAATAATGAATACAAAAGCATTTTAACCGTTAATATTGTAAACCCCTAGGTGATGTGATGTGATGATCAAGGACGAGAACGATTTCGGAACTTGTGTTGAGGGAAACGTTGTGTTGACACAAAAAGAAATGGAAAAGACAATAATATTGTTATAAATTAATCAATAAAATAATCTCTCTACTGTATTTGTTACTTTGAATGTTATCTGTTTTCCCGCAAATATTCAGCGTTACGTTTCTCATAACCATGTCCCCATGATTGCCAATGAATAGAATTCAGCTGTGCATTGGACTGTGGTAACATGCTTTTTATTGAACACATTTTTCTATCATCAGAAAGGGTATACAATGAGTAGAAAGGTTAACAAAATAGTATCTACCTTTTTATCCCATCTTTTATTAATATCTATCAGTGTTTCCTTATAGATGATGGTTCCTGGAGGTATCTGTACCTAAACAATTAAGTGAATAAAAAAGGAACAATGTTCCTGGTATCATCATCAAGTACCTTGCCAATTTTGTTAATAAATCCAACTCTTAACATTGTAACATGGGGTACCACCGAAGACAAACCCGATATGTTTTCAATCTGGTGTCCTATTATATATTAACTCATGATTGCATTTAAAGTTTAAATCCGCACATTTCCTGAAGTTTTATGAATTAACATTGTTTGCCTTTTTTCTCAAAATATCTATAAACAATGATAATAACAAAGAAACAGGAAGATCTTTCAGTCAAGTTACCAATGAATTTTTTTCTTGTCATCTGGTTTAAATAAATTACGAAAACTCTTTGAACTAGGAATCATTGTTTGAATACAAAACACCACTGTTTAATCAAATGATCAATCTAAATGAAAGTCGTATAGCACATTGATGAACACAAAGCATTATGTTTTTTTCAGAACATCATGTGCAGGATAGGGGAATATAAAAGTCAGGATGAAGCCTCTGTAATGAAAAAGCTGGTTGGAGTGGCTCATTATTAAACGTCACGATCACTTTTATACCAACTTCATTTCAAAAGGTAAACCCAATCAATTTTTTCAAGAGGTTTTGTGTGTGCGCCGCATGGTCGTTGTTAATCTTTGTGAATAACCTGCTTACGCTTTCCAACGTTGCGACTGGCTAGAACATAATTTATTTGCATTATTTTGGCCTAATGTCAACACAGTTAATATATAAAGCATAGACTCACATCTTAAGGAGTTGACTACATGCTAATGTGAACGAGCAACAACTCCTAACTCATGGTATGATATATGAACAATCAAAATGAAGTTGGACAACATTATGATACAGCTGGGAGAATTTGGATTATATCAGAAATATATGTATTCGATGATTTGTTGGACATCCCTTTATACCGGAATATATGCTTTGATGTCGGTGATATTTCTCAACGCGCCTGATCACAGGTATGTTACCAAGTTACACAATATAAACCGTTAAATACCTGTATGTATAATTAATGAAAAAGGTGTGCAGAATGCATTACAGTATCAAACTTTCATGGCTATGTTTTTATGTAAGTAGTATCAATCGACATAATCCTAAATTTAAATGTTCATCGTAAATATTCAATATAAATGACTCACATTTACCACTGATGTCAAAGTTAGATAGCACACCTAAAACATAAACCCGTACTACAATATTTGATGTCATCGTTAAGATATACTACTTCTTTCAGCCATTTTTGACTAATCTCCTATGTTATAGCCTCATACACAGTAAGATACAGGGAGACTTTAGCAGTACTATTGTTCGTTCGTTGATCTGTTAATTTACCCATTAATAGCCTGTTTTTCCGACCCTCCGCTCCATAAAGAGTATGTTCGTTGTCAACTGCGTTCATTATACAACATCCGCCGTCAAAATTAAGGTCAATACTTACATCAACATTTAAAAAATGCGTCATTGCTGTACGAAGGCAAAACAGTCGGAGTGTGTTGTTATGATGGTAACTACGGTATTCCTGATTGATAGGAGTATATATTTCCAGTGATTACAGATATATTAAGACTGCTGACGGACAAACTAACAATACATCGTTTCGAGGGAGGTTGATGGCAAGTGTTATGTACAACACTGTGATATGATGGCCGAATTGTTTGTTTTAAACTCATCAGTGCAATGCAGTGCAGTACAGTCTCGTTGTCACCAACCATTTCTCTCATGAAATATATTAGTTGGCTTTGTCATACATTTACATAACTGATATCGTTTATGAAGCCGGTTAACTTTACATAAAATATTGTCTTTGTTTTCGGAGGACCCCAAGACGTTATATCCTAAGTTAATGTTCAGCTATAGGTTTCTTAACTTTGAGTTCGATTGAACGTGTAACGACTACTGCATATATGGTAGCTCACATAATATATTCCGTATCCATATGGCTAAATTAAAATTGATGTAGGTTTATATATCAAAACAAATTCATCCTATAACAGAAAATCAACAGGACATGAACGAAGGGTTGGACCACATATGATTACTATCTAGAACAGCTTTTATCATTGGTTATCTAGTGGGTAAACATACTTTAGGTAAGATATTGGTTTGATATATAGATTATATGAGCTTTAGTGCAAGGGATACTGTCTGTAGATACTGGGTCATCATTTGATACAAAATGAATTTAGATTTAATTTTTTCCAAGATTGGAGAATTTGGACTTTACCAGAAATATGTTTATTTTTTAATATGTTTAAGTATATTCTATAATGGGCTGTATGCGGTAATGTCAGTGGTATTTCTCGATTCACCAGATCACAGGTCAGTATTATTATATAAGTTCATCCCGAAACACAACGCTATTGTTTGGTATCTTAGAGCTCGATTTGAATGGCTGGCGACTTAATTATTGCCGTTACCTCTTTCAGTTAGTCACTTTATCATTTTTTTACTTATTATATCACTTATATTGAAGCTTTCCTATGGTTTCTACTTGTTTCCGTAGAGTTGATAAATTGATTCTTAGTTGTCCAGTATGCGATTATCAGGGAAAGCTACAATTTATCAAATGATAGGATTAATATGTATTTGGGTCTGTCGGATTACACATAAACAACAACTGATGTGAATCTAAAAAAATAAATAAAAATAAATAAATAAATAAAAAGCTGCATTGCTGTGTCATAATGCCGATTAACAATCTCTCCGCGCATATATAATATTCAACAAATATATTACATTTATATATATATAAATATTGATCAGACGAAGATCTTTCGGATTAAAACACCCCATAGCGTAGCGAGTCTCTGTGACTTCAGAAGTTAGACGGTACAGATAAATGTGTCGGAAAGTCAACGGTCACACAACGAGTGTCTAAGGCTTCAACATGTGTGGTGCTTTGATCAATTATACTAAAAACAACAAAGATAAATGTACATAAGTTTGTAAAAACTATTGGGGTGATGGATTAGCGTCAATGGAGTAGATATAAGAAATATATATACATACAATTCGGTCGGTTTGATGTCGTAAAATTGTAAAAAGCGAAGTTAAATGAATTTATTGTAAGAAAACTGTGACAAAGCTATGCTTTTTTTACGTAAGTTTTTATTTCCCAGCACTTGACACGATATGGATGGTTTGGGTCCCTGGGGTCCGTCTCCGTACAATAGGTTGTCCACTCGCAGGAGGAGATTCACCCAACGCTCTACCGTGATAAAATATAATCATTACTTAACACACATACATACTATCTCTCATTTCCTTACACATATGCAGACAACATACCTAATAGATTCTACTGATTTTCCTAACACACATATTCTCATGGCATACATACATCTTATTCATCTCGCATACTAACTACATTATCGTAAAAGCTCGTCTAATAACAAAGCTATGTCAGTAAATGCATACATATGTTTTTCATCTTCAGCTGATTCCTGATTTTTATCTTAGATTTCATATATGTTTGCCACTTTAACCGTATCACTACAAATGTATAGGAAAGGAAGAGGGGTAGGTGGTACTATGAACAACGCATTTACCTTTCACTAAGGTGACCTGGGTGTGATTTCAGATCGCATGCAAGACATTATTTGGTAACCTACCAAATCCCTAATGATTTCTCCGGTTACACTGGTTTCATCTTCACAACAAAACCCCATGAGCGTTACCATCCGCTAAACAAAAGATGTTAAGTTTTGTCATAAATTAATGTAAATCGACAAAGACATAGGCAGAAAATAGCAGAGGGATTATTTATAAAACTGTAAGAACATAGATCCTCCGCATACTGATATAAACACATTGTTTCAGTATTGTAAAGTCCTTTTATTTAATCTGTCTTGACAGAAAGAAGTCAAATTGACGGCCGATACAATTTTACAAATGTCTGAAAGGCTAGATTCAGCCTAGCCATCGATAACGGAGATACATTTTTCCTTTGACCTGTGGTGCCGGCAAATTTACCTATGGTTCAGCAAATGTCGTTAAAAGAAAAATAATCTAACGAATTAGTATATTGATAGATATTAAATATATTTTACCCAAAGTCTTTGGGAATATGTTGACCTTTGTTTTATCCCTACATTGATATAAGATGTGGAAATAAGCGGTATGCTACATTGATTGATCATGAATATCCTGGGATATACAATTGAAAAGTTTGCCTTAATATCGATACATATGTTCTGATTGACATATTACGTTTGATTAGTTTACATTCTTACAAAATATGCTAATGGTCATATTGACTCGATATTGATGGTCAGATTAGGCCTTTGCTTTATTAGGTTTTATCTATGAAGATACGTGGTCATTGATTGACCTTTTGTCTTCATAAAGTGAACAGTCCATTATCTTATACTATCTGGCAAACGGCGTACAGGTATCAATGTTATCGCCTGCTGGTCGGAACAGGGGGTTTGAAATAATTAGGTTTCAGTGATGATATTATAGTATCTCTCTGTAGCTCGGCAACTCTGACATAGAGACTCCACTGATAATCTGCACATCTTGTTGTAAATGGTCAGTCTTTATGATAAAATATCACTTAATATCGTCATTCCTTTATCGTTTTTTATGATACTTCACCCAACATTATCCTACCAGATATATATTATTTTCTATACACTACATCATATATCATATTATAACAAATGAACTTGTGTTTCGGCTCTGTATCGACTATTTTCATCCTGGTTTTGGAACGTGTGCCCTTAAACACATTTCCCAGGCACTCTAACTAAAATAACTAAAAATAGTTAATCCTTGAATGACAAACAGGGCTGTCTATTAACAAGAGCGAAATATAGCTAAATACACAGTCTATTGAATATAAAATAAGTTACATGATATTAGACAATCTTATATTTCCTTTTTAAAAGCCGTGTGAAGATAAACAGAATGTCAAATTGATTGATATTGGTGACTTATACTTTATATGGTGGCCTAAAGTATATTGATCTTTCGTTTTATCTAATGTAATTAATTTATGAGATATGCAAATGAAGTATTTGTCATATTTGTTGATATTAACCATTTTATTGACCTATATATTGTCCTTTTTATTATGCAATATTGATTAATCTTGATGGTCGATTTCAGATTTCAGATGTGTTGATCTATTTTTTAAAATAGCATTAAAATATTCATAAATGAAAGGGTTGGCATATTAATCGGTATTGATGATCGATTGGATTTAAGAGATCAGGTGACCTAGATACTGATCTTTTGTATCCAGATTGATAGATAATGATTTCACGTGTGATATTTAAAGTACGATACGTTTTACCGTCCTGACGGTATTAATTTATATAATATACACTCACTGCTTTTCGCAAAGAAACGTATTTCGTGCGTGGTAGTAAACCTCAAACATAAACAAAAAAACAAAAAGACGGGACATTGAATTAAAGTGCAGTAATCATGTTGTTGCTATCGACACGTAATTAATCGTTATCACACTACGTATAATATTAAAAGTATTGCCTCATAGCTTTTACAATAGACAAAGAACGATTAAACATTAAAAAAAATACTTCATGACAATTAATTATTTATTTAAAAAAAAAATCACTTGAACATATTTTAAAATTTTATTTTCCTACATTTATATATTGAGACGCTCACGTTTGTAAGTGTTACCTTCTGCCCTATCTTGACTACCAAAAAACAGTCATCCTTCGTTTTTCATATACTACATCGAGCATCAAATGGATCAACAGCAGCTTTGTGCTTAAGTTTATTTGAAATGTAAACAGCCACTTACAGCGGAAGTGAAACTGAGTCACAGCAGTATAGTTACAATTGTAGAGTGCGCTATATCATAACTTAACATCAAGCCGAATATTATCTCAGTCACATCCATGCTATATAAGTTTATACATTAGACAGGCTAATTCATAAAGCTGGCCAGTCATAAATTAACATACTATGATTTACTACAGTTTTATACACGTTTCGTGCACTAATACCTACATGTAATACATGAAAGTTTGAATTGATCTCATAATGTTTTTCATATATCTTGATATGTTGTAAGTTTTGTTAAAAAGAGAGCTTATATCGATTACTCTTAAACTTATCTACCAAAGCGAAGGTAAATGCAAGTGTTTTTTGTTTTTGTAATCAAAGTATATTTCAACACAGATACAATATCTGTTAAATGATAAATACCAGATCGACATTAACATTTGTAATTGAAGTAGCGTTATTTCACTAATTACTACCATGAATAAATGTTATTGAGAGCTAAAGTCGTATTCACATGTATATATCTAACTATCAAAAAACATGCTCGTTCGAAACATTTGAATATGTGTGAATATCAATTTAACGTTGATTACGGCTCATAAAGTGTATTTATTTTCTTTATGATGCAGATGTAAAATACCAGGTCTTGAGAATGATACGTACGACATACACAGTGCCTATCAGCAGAACCTTGTCAACAACTACATACCTCCCTCAACAGATGATGACACTTTCGACTATGACCAGTGCCACCTGTACTCGTTTGATTACAACAATGTCAAGTTCGACAACTCCAGCAGACCAATTAATGCTTCACTTGTAAAATGCCACGAGTGGGTATACAGTGATTCTGTATTTGAAGAAACATTTACGTCGAAGGTATGGCATTATATATCATAAAGTTTCCTTAGAAAACGTTTATTGAAGCATTGAGTGAGACCATACAGAAAGCCGAAGGAAGTTATAATTAACTACAACTGATAGGTAACTTGTCGGTTAGGAACTCATCATTGGAAAGCATTCTATAAAACCTTATTAAGTTATAAGAAAAAAGCACAAATTGAAGACATATCGCTACAGAATTCCAAACCAAAACAGCATTACTTTGACCGATATAGAGCCCATCCGTCGTATTAAAGGTCAAATTATTGAATATCCGTGTCCAAAGTGTTTCAAAGCATACATTAAAACACAGAAACACGAATAATGTGCCTTAAGACCCTTTACAGTGTAATAAACTTAAAGCTTGTGGCTACAATTTTTTTGACATCCCAAATGTATAGTTTTTGGGATCAGCAGATAATGTAATTCAAATTCATGTAAACAGTTGCAGAATAAATTTATCATTTTCAAAAACTGATAGTCTACTAGGTAGTAAGATAACACTTGTTGCAGATACTCGAACATTTCAAACAAAGCAAATTCCTTTTTTAAATGATATACTCAAATTGTCCTACAAACATTTAGGAAATGTTGTAAAACATTAAAAAGAAACAGTTATATTGGTTTCCTATCAGAGCAAACGTTTAAAATAACAAAAAGTTTTCAGAACTTGTTTAAAGTAGCGTTTTACATGATGTGCCTACGTCTTTACTGTTAGTAGTTCAATACGTTAAAGAAGTCATACTTTGCGGAAGAGTACAATGAAGGACGTTCATTAATGTACTTATTTTTAATGCAGTTCAACATTGTGTGCGGGGATAAACATCTAACATCTTTAGTCAAGTCTCTCTTCTTCGCTGGGAAGCTCGTCGGCGCCATTCTTTTTGGCAATCTTTCAGATTTGTGAGTACTTAATACATAGTTAAAAATCACAGCCATGCGACTTACTGATGATGTTGTTCTGTGTTGATTGAGTTAATGGATTATTATTTACAAAGAAACACGTTTAACATCTCAATAGAAATAGCTTCAAATCAAAGGAAAATAAACTGTCCGTACAATTTATGAGCTGTAACGACCAAATAATTATTGTTACATGTATGTCGCCCTCTCTGTCCTCCACCTTCCCTAATTTTCATTAAAACGTAAATATTAGCCCCGAAACGACAATAATAAAAAGGGCTGACATGACGAAGATTATGTTTATCGCCCCGCAATAACGATAATTATGTTATGGCTGTAGGATTTTTGTCTAACATTTTTAAAGCAGCAAATTTAGGAAATGACCAACAGATTGCCTCGTTTAACTGGATCCTTCAGATGCTACTCACCAACAAATTTGAAAGCCACGAAAGTGTGTCGTTAAACGTTTATCGTTTATACCCTTCTGAAATTGAAATTAAGGATCATACAGACTCCTTTGCATTATCCTTTTTTTTTTTTTAACTTTACTTGCATCATGGCCGAACGGGATGGTTTACTACTAAGCATTATAATAAACGTTACGATGTATTTTTTCCAACCATAAAATTACCCTTTTTTGACAGTAACAGTCTTGATTCCCTCGACTACAGTGCTGACATGTCACAATAACCTGGATTATGCAGACTGCTCACTAACAAATGTTCAATGTTGCAAGCGATGCTGGTGTTGAATATGGGCTAAGTGTATTGCCATCTTCATCATTATCTGATAGGAAAAGATACTTATTTCTTGTCGGATCATCATCAAAATCCAAGGCTTTCATGATCGACTCCTCTGTTATCTCTTTGAACATATCATGACAAAACCTAAGGCTCACAATAAGTTGACTGATTGCTTTCAATATGCATATTGATCAAAGACATCTGCTAGAACCTTGGATCTTGTCATGACTTCATGTGTAGAGCATTATGTTTTTCTAGACCAAAACTATTTGATTTCAAAATTCTGTCCGATGCTTTTTGTGTTCTGCTCATCCAGCGCTCCATATTGTTAAGTTGTCACTTCCAAAATCTCACTTCGAGTCCGTTCCATTACTTGGAGATAGCCTGAATTAACATTGTTGGTGGCGTCGATGAATCATTAGACTCTTTACCCTTCCCGAACACTAGGTCTTATATCCCTGGTTATTTTATAGGTAATATATGTTCAATCTTCCATTGTTTTATTAGCCCTAGTGTCATTGACATTTAACTCGGAAATACTCCCTTTACACTTCGGTACTTTCTCGTCTTTTTATTAGACTAGGACGTAAAATCACGTTTTGTGCTTCGCTTATGATGATGTTTGGATTGACGTTCGGAATGTCTTGGTCTTCCTCCTACATCGTGTACGCTGTCATCATGACGGGCATTGGTGCCTCTACTCAAGGGGTCTTTCCTGTCGGATTTGTCCTTGGTTTGTATGAAATGAGAATTTCTCAAATACCCAAGAAAACTTAACTTGATATACCTATTACATTCCGGTTTGCAGGCCGTTATAACAGCAATAGAGGGAAATATGCAATGATTTTCCAAAACGAACAACCACATTTTTAAACCTTAAGGGTTTCGTTTTTTGTTATTCATGTTTACTCTTCTTTCTTTAAATATGTGAAGACAAACTCGAGTGCTCTGTACACTCCACTAAGTGGATAATTTGAAAGTTCATTTGTGTGGAATCTGTTACGTATTCCTTGTTCATTTGTGTGGAATCTGTTACGTACTCCTTGTTCATTTGTGTGGAATATGTAACGTATTCCTTGTTCATTTGTGTGGAATCTGTTACGTATTCCTTGTTCATTTGTTCGGAATCTGTTACGTACTCCTTGTTCATTTGTGTGGAATCTGTTACGTACTCCTTGTTCATTTGTGTGGAATCTGTTACATATTCCTTGTTCATTTGTGTGGAATCTGTTACGTATTCCTTGTTCATTTGTTGGAATCTGTTACGTATTCCTTGTTCATTTGTTTGGAATCTGTTACGTATTCCTTGTTCTTTTGTTTTGAATCTGTTACGTAGTCCCTGTTCATTTGTTTGGAATCTGTTACGTATTCCTTGTTCATTTGTTGGAATCTGTTACGTATTCCTTGTTAATATGTTTGGAATCTGTTACGTAGTCCTTGTTCATTTGTGTGGAATCTGTTACATATTCCTTGTTTATATGTTTGGAATCTGTTACGTATTCTTTGTGCATTTGTGTGGAATCTGTTACATATTCCTTGTTAATATGTTTGGAATCTGTTACGTATTCCTTGTTCATTTGTTTGGAATCTGTTACGTATTCTTTGTTCATTTGTGTGGAATCTGTTACATATTCTTTGTTCATTTGTGTGGAATCTGTTACGTATTCCTTGTTAATATGTTTGGAATCTGTTACGTATTCCTTGTTCATTTGTTTGGAATCTGTTACGTATTCCTTTGTCGTTCGGTGAAATCTGTAAGGTATTTCTTCATAAAGAGACCTCTGTGATACCAGATAAAGGGGATCGAGCAGCAACATAACGAACAGATAAAAGGTCCATGATTTCAGTGAGGCTCCTCAGTATTTGTTAAAGAACAAGTAAGTCTAGCGTGGTGTCGGTGTTTTCAGAGGTTTGAAACGAGCATTCGATTCTGGCATAACATATTCTAAGTGTGCAGAGAAAATATGTGTATCGGAAATGCTATGTATATAACTCTCAAAAACAACTTCTATTGTACCGGTGATTGACAGCATACCTGTTTGCAAAATTGCTTACGTGATATTTCGGTCAGTACCGTACGAATAGATAAGGAACACATTTCTTGATTTATGTCGTTGTAAATTTGACCAAAATCTAAATGGATCTGCGTAGGAGGAGTTCATTATACAACCTTTGGTCAAATTATATTACTTTTTAGCATGTTGAAGACTAAATTGTGATTTTGATATGTTTTATCTATTTTGATTATTCTATGATGACGATCCTTGCAAAGTAGTTTTTATATCATGCTTCCAGGTGTTGAGTTAGTTGGTCCATCAAAACGGAAATACGCTGGCATGGTAATCGAATATTTCTTTTCCATTGGATTGATGACGCTTGCCGGTGTCAGCTACTTTGCCAGGCATTGGTACTACATAAACATCATCTGTTCAGCACCAGCAGTTCTATTCATTCTTTACTGGTGGTAGGTGTCACTCTTTTCTCTGTAGCATTACATATTATTTGGTCAGTCAATTGCTTATTTTCTCTCCTTGTTTAACTTAATCTATTATCAAAAACATGTTTGTTTCTTTCACTGGTGAAAGTGGTATTATAATCAAATAAGTTTTGTTTCCTTAACTGAAGATCCACATCATACGACCTAAAAATAGGTGTTTTTTACTCTTTAAAAACAGTCAATTATTTTGTTAAATCGATCGCAAATTAATATGAAGTAGAAGTTTGTTTGATAGAAGTATGTGATTCAACTACCTGATTTTCATTATAAGGCTTATTTCGGAATCACCACGCTGGTTGATAAGTAGACAGCGATACGAAGAGGCAAACAAAGTTCTTCAGAAGGCAGCTAAGGTCAACAAGGTGGAAATCGAAAAGAACCTATTTGAAAAGGAGATAGAAAATAAAACGTCACAACCAACTGGAAGGGTGTGGCAGTTGTTCTCTACACGGGTCATGCTACTGCGCACACTTGTCATCCTCTTCAACTGGCAAGTAGTGTGTTAATACTGAAATATGTGTGAGGTTATCATCTGTGTGATTGTTGTCGCTAATCAAAAATGTGTTATGATAATATATATTGAAAACTACGACGTTTATCTTATTTAAATACGTTTTAGGCGATGCGGACGAATAAGCTACATTGTATGACACATGGCGTCAGGTATTCATATTAAGTTTCAATATATCTGGGACCGTATTCACAAAACAGTACTCATGCTCAAACTCAGATGATGTGCTTAAGCCCTATTTATTGTTCCAGTGATAAACTTCAAAAATCATATCTAGTTAATGATTCAAAAGAATTTTGGAAAAATCGAGATCAAGTCGCGATCACTTCCGAAACTCATTGTCGTGTTTAGATTATCGATAGGAAAATCCGAAAGAAAATTGACAAAACACAAATGACGATTTTAAAATTAGTTTTTCTTATTTTCACAGGTGCATAGTAAGCATGATCTACTACGGCCTGTCTCTAAATGCAGGGAACCTCGGAGGAAACTTTTATCTGAACATGTTTTTATCTGGACTGGTAGAAATTCCAGCTAATACCATGGTCCTACTGTTAGTAGATCGTGTTGGTAGGAAAAAAGTCTACTGTCTCAGTATGATATTAGGAGGGTTAGCATGTGCCTCGACAACATTTCCCATCCTGAAAGGTGAAATAGGTAGGTGTACTGGAGCCTCGAGCACATGTACTAATCATTCAATGCACATTGTCAATGTTTGTTTCTATGTCGGCATTGCTTACTAGTCGTAAGCCCTAGTCACACTATTCAGAATCAGCAGGAATGAGGCGTAACAAGCCGGAAAGAAAAACGAAAATTAAAATTCGTGCCACATTCGGGAGGAAAAATCAAATTGGCCTACATTCTAACACATTCCGGGTGTCTTAGCTTCTGAATGCAGCTCGAATGTAGTTAGAACACAGAAGGAATATGTAGAATGCTGTTAAGAATTTAGTCAAAATATTTAGAATGCACTTCAACCGCTGTACGAATACGGTTGGATTGTTGCCTGAATACCGCCCAAATCGCTGTACGAATACGGTTGGATTGTTGCCTGAATACCGCCCAAATCGCTGTACGAATACGGTTGGATTGTTGCCCGAATACCGCCCAAATCGCTGTACGAATACGGTTGGATTGTTGCCCGAATACCGCCCAAAACGCTGTACGAATTCACTTCAAATGCAGTCAGAACGCACCGTTTGGTTTTTCCTTCGAATGCGATCAAAATGTTTCGAATGCTGTCAGAATGCCGTAAGCCTATTTAGAATGTAATCAGAATGAAGTTTGAATACACTTCGAATGCTGTTCAATATTTCTCCTCTACGAATGCACCTCAAAAGGTTTGAGCATGAGCAAAACATTAGGACTGGCAACAAGAATGGACCAGACTATTTGTAATGCTTTCAGAATGCAGGCAGACGTTGTATAATACAATTCGAATATCCAGGAATATACCAAACATTTTCATTCCGACGACATTCCGGCTCATTCGGTCTCTAGAGTGACTATGGCTTTATAGAACGACTGCGGTTAGTATATAATCTTGGGTCGGAAGCACCGTTGGTATACAATAATGACTCAGCAGAACTGTGTCGGCTTTTTCGTTTTTGCCATCAAGATCCGCTGCTGAAATTTCACTCATGAATATTCGGAAGTCAGATGTAATGATATTTTGTATCATATTTTATTTAACCCTTTGAAATAAATTAATGTGTAAATAATGCGAAATTGCTTTCAGAAAACCAGACTATTATAATAGTCCTCGCCATGTTAGGTAAGTTTGGTGCGACTGCTGCATTCAATACGATCTACTTCTATTCTGCGGAGCTGTTCCCTACCGTAGTACGGAATGCTGGGATGGGTGCGAGTTCGTGCGCGGCTAGAGCTGGAGGAATCGTTGCACCATACATTGCAGATTCCGTAAGTATAAATTATTAGCTCAGAACACTTCTTCATAGCATGATTTCATATGAAATTGTCACCAACACAGAAGAAGCACGTCAAATTCGAAGTCGATGCAAAAACGACAAAAATTGATTGTAAAAGACTTGAGAAGTCATCATCAAAAGCAAAGAGTAGGCGTGAAACTATTAAATTATTCAAAACAACACTACAGAACTTGAAGAGACACAAAACAAAAATCTCCATAAAAATACCGCAGCCTTCTGCAAAACACGTTTCGGAGATATTTTTATTCAAAATTGCTATGTGCTCAAATCCGTTCCGTGTAATTAACTTACACAAGGTCGTTAAAATTAACGAGCAAATGCGGAAGAACTTTCGTTTGTTCTGTAAACAAGACTATATAAACCTCAATCATTGCATGCTTGGTGTCAGTTTTAGATAGAAAGAAGGGTTGAAATTCACAATAACACATGTTCACGTACTCTTACGGACACATTAACGTTGATGTATGAAATCATTGTATGTGCATGGGGAAAGTTCATTGAAAAAAAAAAAAAATCAAGTTTTTGTTCCGATGCCTTAAAGTAAGCCGTATATACTATTACAGGCAGCGTTAATAGGTGGAATGGTCGGCAAGGTGTTTCCGTTAGGATTGTTTGGAGTGTTGGCAATCTTAGCGGGGTTGTCGTCCTTGTATTTACCGGAAACTCTGAATAAAGCATTACCAGAGACTATTGAAGATGGGAAACGATTTGGAAGGTATCTTTACCCTTTTATACTCTTCGGATTATTGATAGCATATATAACTTATCATGTTTTATATAATATTTGGTTGATAGAAATTTAGCATCAATCTTTTGTTACACATCTGTCCTCTATTAACAATGAAAACAGGTGCTCCTCGACAACGTCACTAATTTGTCTATGTTCCAATCATGATTCGAAAATGTATAAATAAGTAAAATATTAGTCAACATTTCATTTTGTCATCGATGACTATTTTAACTTTTACGGAGCAGGCCGACATATTGAATATAATATGTATTTATCTGTATGAAAGGAAATGAGCATTTGGTTTATATTATCTTATAACTCCATCCTCATTCTCACAGGTCCGCCGATATATCTCAAAAGAAGAAAGAAATCAAGGAAAACATGGCACACATGGGTCATAAGCAGTCTTACTATGAAAACGGTGGTTTTATTGCAGAAAAAGAAATGACCAAACTTTGAAAGCTAATTATGGAATTATATTAGCAACTTCAATAATCATTTATTCAATTAGAACTTGAAGTTTTTGCTCGGGCATTATAGCAAAACCAAAATAGGAAATTCATCTTTCACAATGAAATATATCAATTTTCCAAATGTTTTGTAAAAACCATCTTCCACAAAGAGATGACATTTCATTTTATTTTCCTGGCTTTGGTAAAATTATGTATATTGTAGAAGCTAGCAATAGAAGCAACAGCAGTGATAATGTGAATAACAGCAACAATAAAAACGACGAAGTCGCTGTCAGCAACAACTGTAGCGAAAGCATAAGAAGAAGTTGTACCGGTAACAACAGAGGCAGTGTGTGTACTTTGCAACTCTCATGATGTATACATTTTATGATTATTTTTTTTTTGTATTTTTTCGTGAAAAGTATACAATTGTGGAACATCCTAGATAAAAACGCACATTTATGCCATTTCGCACTGAGGAACGACACGAGTTATATTACAGAAAGCAAAGCTATATGGTTTCGTGATATTAAAATATAGCATGATTGATATTTAACTAGTATAATCTGAGGTTCATTTATATTAGTGATTACTCATGCCTACTCGTTATGTTATGTGATATGTTTTGTCTTAAAAAGAATTCATCCTTTTCTATGTTATATCGTTATATGTGTTCCTTTTGTTAATCGCATGCTGTTCCATCAATTGGAAATATTTCTCTACTGCAATAAAAGAGTTGTTTGAAATTCAATTAATTGTGTTTGCGTTTCAGTTATTAAATACTATGTCTAAATTAGAGAATTACAGTAATTATCTGTTATTTCTTTGTGACAATATGATTTGTTTTGAAATGAGAGGAAATGCAAAACAATCATATCATTATGTAGTTGGTATTTGATTTCTTTATTCATATGGTTTTACTAAAAAAATATACAACACAGTTCCAAAGCCTTATTTAGGGTATTACGACTATCAGCTTCAGAATTTCACTTAATGTTTCTTACTAGAAGGAAATATACAAGGCAATATATTGGCTTGAATTCTAATCGATTATTATTCATAACACATATTTGTGTTTCATATTACATGCTGTCTCAGTCAATGGATAAGCGTTTATTTTTTTATTTTAATATATTGGCAGAAGAATATTTTCTTGCGTAAAGAAATAGTTGCACTAGACGTAATGCTAGTAGTCCGCTATCTCAGGCTGTCCATTTGAAATGTCCATTCTTGTTTCAAAATTTAGGGCTCATAAATAAATAATTATCATGCTGCTCGGGGGAATATTTTGCCTTTCGGAGTAATTGTTTTGGTAAACACAAGAACAAAGTAATAACTGTCCGAGTTTTGGTTCACTTGAAATATGAATGAACGCACTTAGTCTCGATATGTGTTGTTTGGTTAACAAATGAAGAAATGGAAATGGCATTCATAGCTTTATATTTACATTCTAAATGAATCTGCCAAGTAAAAACAACTGCCATTAGACCAGGAATACACTATGAATACAACGATTCTCTTGCAACCATTCAGCTGATTTCACACACAATGAATAATATATGTATTATAGTCACGGTATACTGTAATGTATGTAGTACGTATACATGTAGTACAGGTGTACTAGCGTCCGGAAATGAGGCCAAGGTGACACAGGTAGCCGCGTGAGGCGGGACGGGTAACGTGTAACCGAACGTGTTACAGGTGCGACACGGGTGTCTATAGAGTAATAAATGTAGTTTGAGGGTTACATAGTCATTCGAGTCTTGACGGTTCAACTGTTCACTTCAAGAAATAATATTTCTTTTTGTTTAATCATAGAATTATGAAATTTCCTTGAGACAGGCACGATTTTTCTAGTGTCTGCCAGGATCCAGATTCAGGACGGAGAGAAGGGAAGAAGGATCGGGCACGTGCCTTTTGTATTTGATACTCTTTCCTTTAATAAAATGGTTGATCGTCGATGGCCTCTACCATGCATAGGTGTTGAGTTTTATATGATAAATGCTTTATATGGAACGTAGTGAATTAGAATCATAACTTCATATTAATACGCATAGTACCGTTTCTGAAAAGAGTTATATCCCCTTCTCCGAGATAACGTAGTTGCGAGAACTTCTAATAAATATAACAAAAGTCATAAATGTTGCACCATTGTACTATTATTATTATTCTTTTAAATTTATTTTTTTATTTTTTATTTATAACATTGTCATATCAAATACTGACTTCCGACTCGCAATCGGTTCCTCGTGGTCACGAACTTTCTAACACCCAAACGTCCGTGACATCAACATGCACATTAAACCTAGATAACTTTATAAAGACACAGGGCACTTCATCCATCAACTTATCATGTTTTAAAATGCTGGGTTTTTGGCATACAGCATATTCAACGGCTGTACATTTACCTTCAAATGAGCTCTATGCCTACTGCCGATTGGTGTTCTTGATGGTAACTATGGTGACAGATGATTTGAAATAGTGCGAACATACACTTTTCAAATATATATATAATATGCGGTATTTAATGCAAAATAAGATCATCTTTCAAAAACGAAAGAAATATCAAGTTTTGGTTACTATTAGATTCTAGACATATATTTTTGTTTCAACAAAATCAGGTGATCGGCGGAAGTCAAACATTTGAAGTTTGTGTGAAGGCTGGAGTTCTGGCTGTTCCTTTTTTATGGTTTTCTATCCGATACTAATATTAAAAATATTAAATTTACAAAAAGAGTTGTACTTTTTTATTGTAATTCATCGTAACGCAAATAAATTAATTGATTTTTTTTTAATGTACATTGCGGCAATGAATAGCATTAGCTGATCTGCATAATCTTCTGAGGAGCGCTAACGTGATCCACAGGATATATATAGATCAGCTACTGTTTTTCATTGCCGCAATGTACATGAAAACAAATCAATTCAATCCCTATATAACACAAAAGAAAAATATACATACGATATTGTCAACACGCAAAAAAGGAAAATCAACTCATTGCACTTGAGCGTCAACAGATACACAAGTTAATCACATCGTCCATCACCATAAGAGTAGGAGAGCGGTAGAGAAAACAAGAAACAAATGGAAAGAGATCGTTAAGTCTCTCTGCTACAAAATCATGAGAGGTCAAACCAAAACACAGGGAAGTTTAAATGTAGCTTTTCCTGTAGCACCTATGCTGTCGTCTACTTCTACCTTTTGCTTTCGATTCACCAAATAAAATACTATACATGTCTGTTTGAACACGTCAACGAATTATGTTGCTGAATCATCGAGGTTCAGCGTGACATGTTATATTTAGTGTAAGATAACGGTGTTTAGTTCCTATTTATACCATTGTTATTGATTTTTCTCTATATTGACATTTTATGAATCTTTTGATGATTTTTGTTTCATTTTTTGTTTCCTCCCTAAACGTCTTTCTAGAAATACTTAAATAGTTGCTTATTTTTGTTATTTTCCCAAACTGTGGTCGTATTCGGTACCTTTCAGCTCATTTAAAATGTCAATTTCATAAAGAGCATCTGACATTCAAGTCAGAGGATGGCATTGAGAAATCTTTAAAATAAAAACGGGGTTTAGAATTATCGAAAACAAATGGACTTAATGATGTACACCTCTGAGAAGTAAATAAAATCCTGTATTAAACTTTTTTTTCTTTAATGAATTTTTGGAAAAGGCAGTTAATGGCATAGTAGAAAATGCAAAAACAAATTAATGTCCGTGTTTTCGTTTTTGTACGATGATCGGTCAAAGATACCAATTTAACACAAAACAGTCGAACCTCGTAATCTCGAACTCTTTTAACTCGAAGACCTCGTTTATCTCGAAGTATTTCTCCGGTCCCAGCCAAATCTCTTTTTTATCTTAGTAAATAAAACTCTGATAATTTGAACCCTGAAAAGTCGAAAAACTCCGATACCTCGAAGTAATATTGGTTTCAATAGCGTTAATCCAGAATCATAACATCCTCTACTTCATAGTGTTCGAATTTCATTTTGTATGTGATTTTATGTGATTTGTTTGGTTTTGACCATTTGCAGAACAAATTCATACAATTTCTTCCAAGTCGTTATCAGATATGTATGAATGTCTGTACAATTGATAAAAATAATATTTTCTTTTAAATTATGGAGGTGTGCTTCTATTTTATCCCATTATTATTTGTGTTATTTTTCACCTTTTTCGGGGTCAAAATCAAAAGTGCTTCAGCTACACTAAATATGTAAAAATAAGATACTAATAATGTATAATTTTCCACTTTGTTGCATATTATTTTTATCATATTGAACGTTATAAAGTTGAAATTTTGGCCTTTTGTAAAGCGCAAGAAATATACATTAATACACATTTTCAAAATGGCCGCTGAATTCGTCATTTTTTAAAATTCTTTTTAAAAGTTTTACAAACAACAGGCATATAGTTTTTTTTACATATTTTTCAGATGCGTGTTTGCTATTAAACTTGATCATAATTTGTTAAATATTACAAAAACACGTTACACCAGATCAAAACGAGACTTGAACGTGATTTAAACCTCAGAAGAGTACATCCTTAATGTCTTATCTATTTTTCTGATCTTATTGTCATCACTTGGGGAGGGATGGAGGGTGGGACAGATTTTAAAGGCAAATATTATTGAGTATGCAAGAGATATTTTCCAATAGATACTTCTTTAACAGTTCGATATCTTCATATACACATGCTACTGTTATAACAAAGCCATGTTATAATAAGTTAATCGTTCATATAACGTTTTGTTGAATCATTACTTAGGCTCATGAATGCATTTAGAAGCCTCATCACATTCGACCGACTACCCTCCCCGCAGTGATATGTTCAATTCACAATACTTATCCTGTCATAACTATGATGCTACTGTATGTAACAGCACGTATCTGAACTGGGCCCAACAACATGTACCAGCTAGTGAAAGCAGTAATATGACGATTATCAAATATCATGAAATTAATATCGGTGTTATACCTAACTACTGTTAGTAACTTTAGTAGATTACTTTTCAGCACACTGTTTGCTTTTAGAAAAGTCAACAACCTGAGCAATATTTAAACACTGGCAGGATGATTTTAGGTTAATATGAAACGGAATTTCATTACAGTAAATCGCGTCAGATAAAAAGCTGTCATGTGTCTTATCTTATACCACATTTATAACGACACCCCCCTTAAAATAAGTAGTTTTTTTCAGCATTGAATCTCTATATACGACTTCCTGGTCATCTCTAGGCAATTATCGAATAACGTCACAAAACATAACCTTGAGTTCACTATAGCCTTTATCAACATGTATTGCTATGCATGGCACAACACATCAATCTACACCATGTCCATGCATAACATCTCAGTACATATATAATTTTTGAGGCACCTGTATTCCTTAAAATACAGGTGTCAAAATAAGCATTTAAACACGATTGATTTATCCTCAGAATGTTTTTGCATAATTTTAGCGTTCAAATGGTATTTTATGCATCGCCGATACTGTATTGCGTATTTAACGTTATTTTAAAAGATGCACTGTCACCATTTCTGAACCTTAAAAAACTGGTTATAGTAGCCAATGAGAATTTCAGATTTGATATGTATATGCATTGTCAGTAATAATGCATCATGAAATGATAACTTCGAAAACCGCCATGATATTTGAGCAACAGCGTTAATATGTAAATGAGTGAGAGCAATACATATTGAAACTCTAAAAAATTGGACAACATTTGTATTCAATGTCATAAGTAGTACATTATTTGATATCAGCTACAAAAACCGATATACATTTGAGTTAGTTGTGAGTGGAAAAGGGGGAAACAGACATGGATAACATTCTACTAAAAGTAGGAGAATTCGGTTTATACCAGAAATGTGTGTTCACATTAATTTGCTTGAGTACCCTGTTTTGTGGATTGTATGAAACAATGTCGGTGATATTTCTGAATTCACCTGAGCACAGGTATGTTCCAATTTTTTTTTAATATTATTTTGATTGCATTACAATTTGCAGAATGTGCAAATATGAATTTCTCAACATCGTACTTGTTTACTTTTTTTTCTATGATTACGGCATTTTGAGTCATTTAGAACTAAACAACACTAAAAATAAAAAGTTCACAAAAAAATCAAACTTAAACATAAACGCCAAAATGTTTTAAAAAAGATAAAATCAATGCAACCCGATTGGCTATAAAATATGGAATCTTACCTCACAGATTAATTGAAATTAAATACTGTAATCCTATGTTAATGGCACAAGAACTGTACCAAACAAACGTTTATATTTATTGCATTATAAACATATCTTTTATGAGTTCCAAGTCTTAGTTTGCTTTTTAAAAAATGGTTAACTACAAGCATGACAATAAAGTTGATCTCCCTTACGTAAAATGTAACCATGTGCAATGTAGGTATGACCTTTTCGTAGTCGCGAGAGGACAACTTTCTATCAGCAGTCAACTTTTACTTGTTGTACATGAACCCACACTAGGGTGAATTGCTAATATCTAACTTATTTCTTCTAATTTGTTATGATGCCAACTCCTATTAATATCATTTGCTATATAAGATTTGAATCAGTGTAAACAGTTCAATATATATGATATGATACATTTTTGTATGTAGGTTGATGGCTATTTTTGCATCCCTATTGACTCTTTTAATAACGGTTATTCCGTCATCACCGGGTATCCAAATTAAGATTAAATGATAGAACATTAAAATCATGTTGATACAAAAGAGGTTCGATTTATAAAAAAATCTCTGCTCTCAGAGTATACAATACACAAATCCTCCCACAACTGCAAACGAAATCATCCCACCGCTGCCGAACTACAGCTTTTTCAATTGATAAGAAGAGGAGGTTCTGCAAATATTTACATATATACAATATTCAAAATTTATATCGGCATACTTGTTTACACTCACGAATAACTCTCATACAATTATAATTGGGGAATGCATATATAATCTACTTACGCTTACAAATAAACATATATGTTATAATGCACCTAAACCTATTTTAACAATAAACAGTCTCGTAGCTTGTCCACACTGAACATATTACAAAGTTCCGCTAAGGTTAACTTTCTTCCTGTTCTCTGGCAAACACAAATCAGTCTACAAAGCACAATAGAAATTAACTTCTTGTCAACTGACAGATGACATGTACGAATGAACTGTATATTAGACGCTGAAGTCTTAGTTGCTTTGTCAGGATTCAACTCAGTGGTTACTACCGGGCCTCCATATCACAGTATGCTATCATCATGCTCCTGGCCTCCATATAAGAGTACTGAGTCTCTATTCACAAGGAAGATATAAATAACAAAGCATTTCCCTCTCTGGATAATCGTATCCATACATGAGTCAGTTTATATAAACTGCAGCCTCAATGGAACCGTAGATGTGAGAAGTAATCAACTAATACCGTCGGTCTTTAGGGGTTTCCGTCATTTTTCCTCGGACAAAAACTGACAACCCTCTCGATAGGAAAATAAGCTTTAAAACACAATTAACACTAATGACTGCATGCACTTCTATGCTCAATTGTATACACTTACAACACTCACATTGATATATAACTGCATTTACATAACATTATCTTACTATGTATATTGTGTATAAATAGGTAAAGTGAACCTAGTTCAATACATAAACAGATACCACACAAATGCATTCGCTCTTACCGTGCAATGTACATTTTTGTATCTGTTTTTAATGTAAGAAATACCGTTTATTACACGGCCAAGCCTACACAGAGTCAACGATCAAAATCACAAGAAAAAAACAGATCTATCTATGATTGAAAAATAACTTACCGTAAGCTGTGTTTCACGCTTACACCCAAATACTCCATATTGATAGAAGTAGTAATAAAAATACGGGACACGCCATTACGGCTGTCTTACACATCTGTCAAAACAATTGTGTGCGTACTTAGGGAAACGTAAGTTTAACCCATGAAATACAAAATACAAGATTATATACCCACTAGTGCTATTTCATGGTCAATCATGCTTATAATATGTACCACATGATATAGTATTTTAAAATGTCGGTATGTGACACTTATAACACACGCTGCTGGTCCTTGTCATCGATCTTAGAGCCATCGGTATGTAGAAGTTTATGTGAAGGATATTTTCAGATGTACTTGGAAGACAAGTTCATCTACTGAATCGGGAATGTATAAGAATTATTGTTACTATGCTGTACTAAATTTACATCTGGTTTTAAAATGATTTACGGTGGAATTGCAGGAATACTGTCAACACCTTTCGACGGTAGTCTAATACATAAACTGCAACGTTGTTTGAAATTTGTTATAATAATTAATTAAAAAGGCATTCAATTAAAGTTGCGTTTGTTTGTGCAGATGCAAAATCCCTGGCCTTGAGAATGACACGTACGACATACACAGTGCCTATCAGCAGAACCTTGTCAACAACTACATACCTCCCTCAACAGATGATGACACCCTCGACTATGACCAGTGCCATCTATACTCGTTTGATAACAACAATGTCAAGTTCGACAACCCCAGCAGACCAATTAATGCTTCACTCGTTAAATGCCACGAGTGGGTGTACAGTGATTCTGTGTTCAAAGAAACGTTTACATCGAAGGTATAGCCGACAACGATTAAACAGTTTTGTCTTTTTTCTTTTAAATTGCATTTGAAAACAGAAATTCCTTTATTGTCACGAACAAAATTAATATATAAGCAAAGCGCTATGCCCAAACGACGTTCTTTATTCTTTATTCTTTACATAATCTTACATTTGCAGTTCAATATCGTGTGCAATGATACCTTCCTTATTCCGTTGGTAAAGTCAATGTATATCGTCGGGAAGTTTGTCGGCGCTTGTGTGTTTGGTAATCTATCTGATGCGTGAGTAATATAGGGTTGTCTTTTTCCAAGTAGAGAGGAAGATGTAGTGGGTTTTCTTAATGTTGTACAATTCAGTTTAAATTATCGCTTAAATTGAAGTTTTCTTATATATGTATTCTTAATTTAGGAATAATAAAAACATATAAAAAACATCCAAAATATGGGGGAAGGCCTTTTTTTCGTGAATCTCGAGGATGTCATTGAGTAATTTCCTATATTTATATATGGAATGAATAAACATTCATTCATTCAATAATAATATTTGCCGCTTCAGGATTGGTCGTAAAATAACATTTTTCGTTGCCATTATGATGATGTTTGGACTGACGTTCGGAATGTCTTGGTCTTCGTCCTACACCATGTTCGCTGTCATCATGACGGCAATAGGTGCAACTACACAGGGAATCTTCCCTGTCGGGTTCGTCCTTGGTAAATACACAGTGTATATAAGAAGTTGGATTTTGAAATTAATATTCAATATTAATTGTTATGTTAATCCCTAGAATAGTCCCATCAGACGAAGTTAAGTAGAGATTGATAGCATCGTTAAATTTGTTCATGTGGGGTTTTAAACCAAAAGAAAGGGTCAGTTTCACTTGCATTAGAAGTATTTCTCTTCTGCTTATTTAACAATGTCTTTCATGTCTTTACCACATTGCTGAAGGTTGGTTTGTTCCCTTTGCATTCTAACAGTGTTATAACAGCCCGAAATAGTTTGGTAGAGTATACAATGTCCCGACATCCTATTCAATATTTACACATTATTACATGCATTTAGCAAAAATGCTCATTAGAACAAAATGTTGCACGTTGTTTGGTCGGTAGTATATTTGAAAATGAACTGCATAAATGTCATCTGAGACAATCTGCTATCAATATTTCACCCAAAAGAAAATTTACAAATCGGAAACACAGTATTTTGTTAAAACTAGCTGGAAGCTATTATGATATCTTAGTAATTTGGGATCAATTTTGGCTAACTTATTATTCATTATGTCGTCAGTTCACAATGGAAGAATAACCACTTTTTTTACACCGATTTAGGTATGATCTTATGCTATACTTTTAGGTCTTGAGCTAGTTGGTCCGTCAAAACGAAAATACACTGGCATAGTTATCGAATATTTCTTTTCTGTGGGATTGATGATTCTGGCCGGTGTCAGCTACTTAGCCCGTCATTGGCACTATATTAACATTGTTTGTTCGGCACCGGCTGTTTTGTACATTTTTTACTGGTGGTACGTATATTGGTTTTATTATTATCATTATTATTTTCGAACCAAGTTCGAAAACCCGTAGCTTTTTAAAAAATAGGAAATACAAGTAAATATAAAATGTTTTATTGTGAACATATCTTAGTAACAGCAACTGTCTGTCAATTCAAAATCATTCTTTTTGAACTTGATATATATATAAATGTTATTTTGATTTATGGAGAAATGATATAATTAGTTGAATAAAGAGATACTGTCGCTTCTTTATCAGGTTTATTCCTGAATCCCCTCGTTGGCTAATCAATAAACACCGATATCAAGACGCCGACATGGTTATCAAGAGGATGGCCAAGGTGAACAAAAGGAAAATAGAAAGTGATCTTTGGGAGAACGAAGGCGAGACTAAAGTGTCTGAACCAACTGGAAGCGTATGGCAATTGTTCTCAAGCGGCATGCTTCTGCGCACACTCGTTATTTTGTTTAACTGGCAAGTTGTCTTTATGATTTTGTATATTTTTTTTTTAAGCGAAATTATCAGACATGCATATTTGTTTAACTCTGTTTTATTTTTGTATTTTCTAGTTCTTAATGATGAATGTTAAAAAGAACTGTTTGGTAGACAAAATGGAGATCATTTAAACATCTTTAGTGTTACAATGTCTAAAATAGCCAAGACTGACTCTCACAGAGCACAATTAATATTTAAATAAAAGTTGATTTTTATGCAAGTTTTTCTTTACAGGTTTACAGTGTATATGACCTACTACGGACTGACTCTAATTGCCGGTAACCTCGAAGGAAATTTCTACGTGAACATGTTTGTATCGGGGCTGGTAGAAATTCCAGCTCATACCATGGTCCTACTTTTAATTGGTCGAGTAGGCAGGAAAACAGTTTACAGTCTCAGTTTGACACTTGGAGGGTGCGCATGTGCATCGACAATATTCCCCATTGCTGATAGTGAAATTGGTAAGTTAACATGTATTAATTTTAAAAGTAAAAGATATCATCTTGATGGAATCCTATCGGTATTGAGTAAACAGTCTTGCATCTGCTATATTTAATTCGAAACATGTTTATTATATGATATGGTGCTAATTCCCAGCCCTGATTGGAGGAGCGACATCATGTGACAAGACTGTAAATCTGTTACATACCTCGTGCTATGAATAGAAAAGTGTTACAGACCTCGACCTATATATAGAAAAGTGTTATAGACCTCGACCTATAAATAGAAAAGTGTTACAAACCGCTACTAAAAATAGGCCTAGGTAATTCTCCAGCCATCGATTAACAGACACTCAAGTAATCTGTTACAGACCTCGTTTTATAAATAGAAAAGTGTTACAGACTTCGACTTATAAAAAGTGTTAGACCGCTACTGAAAAATAGGATTAGGTAATTTCCTAGGCAGTCTGTAAATCTGTTACAAATCACACTTCTGAATTCAACTACAAATGAATTATCTCATCAAATTCAGAAATATGTGATGCTATTGATGATGTCGATTATGTAAATGATATTTACATAAACTTGAATATTACATGAATTGAATCTGATGTTATGAATGTTATTTTGAGGTTCTTCAATCCGAATTCGAAAATGGTCCATGCCATCCATGTGACAATGACTTGAAAAATGATAAACATTGTAAAATGTCATATAAAACAATCGTTGACTTTAGTGTCGGTCTATCCCTGATTTACCGGCCTCAGTGAATATTGTTCAGACCAGGTCCGTAAACCAGGGATAGACCTCACCTGAATTCTATAATTGTTTAATATTTCATTTAGAGAACCAGACCATTATTACAACACTTGCCATGATTGGTAAGTTTGGTATGTCAGCCGCATACAGCACGCTATACCTCTATTCTGCTGAGTTGTTTCCTACGGCAATCAGGAATGCAGGGATGGGTGCCTGTATTTGTACAGCGAGAATTGGAGGAATCGTGGCACCCTACATCGCAGACTCGGTAAGTGATGTTACAAGGAGTTATCATGTGTTTGGTAACGTTTCTTTCAGGATTATGATGCCTTTTTAAATGTCTTCTCAGATCCTATAATTGTAACGATTGATCAAAATTTGTCCTTTTGTGTTAACAAAGTGCTTTTTGTCTTCAGTAATTAAACATAGTCACAGGGAAGCTTTTCGAAACCCATTTAATTTTAAAGTATATCTCTGACATACCATACCTTTTCCTGCTTTTCGAAAATATGTTCTTGGTATGTATGACGGGTATCTAGATAAGTTACGATATTCATTGTTTCATTTGCAATATCATTGCTGCTTTGTACCTTAATTCCTGGTTAACAATTTAGAGAAAACAATCATTGTTTAGGTTTGTGGGATAGTGAAAGTCTACCCTCGGTTGTATGATTTAGGCTCAGAACTTCTATAAAGCCTCGGTCATACTTCTCAGATTATGACGAGACACATCAGGAAAGGTACTAACTATGGAGCATATCAAGCGTTGGTTGTTTTTTTTACCGGATTATAGGAATTCAGGTCCGTTCCGATTCGTGATATATTTCTTGTCTCCTCTGTTCCTGTCTGTTATTCTCTCATAGCGATTCTTTACCTTTAAAATGTTTGTTTTTATGTGTGCCTAGTTTACTTTATGCATAGCATTTCTTCGAATGTTACAGGCAGCCTTGATAGGTGGCATGTTCGGGAAAGTATTTCCTTTGGGATTATTTGGAGTGTTTTCTATCATTGCTGGGTTATCATCCTTGACCTTACCAGAAACGTTGAACAAAACATTACCGGAAACAATGGAAGACAGTAAACTGCTTGGAAAGTATGTATTCATATTAAGTATCCATAAGTCATTTGTGAGTTATGTTTTCATTACTGCTCATAGATAACCTCCTGACGTATAAACAAAAATAGTATTAAATATGGGGTGATTGCACGTGAAACATACGTTTGGGAATTATTGGGTAAAATACAGCTCACTACCTTAATTCATATTTCGAAGCTTTGCCACGTCATACTAAATCAATTTATAATGTTAAATTATTCCTCGAACTGACCATTGTCTTGCCTATTCCACAGTTTAATTTGTTTCCCCTGTTCTTATAGAATCCTTATGGCACGTATCAAACTTGATACCTTTTTTTATTTATAACTTCGACACGTTTCACACCTTAAGTGTTGTATCAACGGAGAATTAATCATTTTACTATATCAGATAAAAAAGATAAAAAAAAATGCCAGATTTATCCTGCTGATAACAAAAGAGAGCAAAGGTTGATGGGAGGGTAACTTTAAGATATTTCTGTGTGTAATCGTGGATAATAGATTGTATTGATGAAAGGAGTTACTTGTATTTTCCATTTCTCGTGCCTGACACTGCAGGCTACATTTTATATGTACTAACATATTATTGACGTATGTAAACTATATCATATGCCTATTTATGACCCACTTCACATGCCTTTGAACATTTTCAATTCACCGTAACACGAGAAATGCACATATATAAGGTATAACATCGACCTCGCTTACAGTGGATATTTGGTTGTCGATAATGGAGCATTGACGACATGAATCATTGTAACTGTGTAAAAAGTTTAAAAGAAGCTTTGTCTTGATTATGATTATATTGGATATTCAAAATGCCAATCATTGTGTCCTGTGTAGTTTTATAAAGGTGTGTTAAACATTTTTAGTACTGTAAGTGTCTGTGGTGTTACATATGATACTGTTCTCAACGCTATAACGAGTAATATATATATATGTATAAATATCTTAACCCTAAAGTTTTAATTAATCAATTCATCTTTAAGCACAAGAAAATCACGAATATATGTATGCGTATAATTGAGTGAAAATAATTAATACTGGTTGTCCTAATTAAGATAACGTATACAAATATTTAATTCCTGAATGCAAAACGATTTTTAAAAAGTTCAGCTCCCTAGATAACCCTTCAGTTATTTGTTTTAAGTTAACCATGACACTATCTAATTTTCGGATGCTATTGACAATTTTTACCATGTATAAATGTAGGATTCACTAACGAGTGATTTATAGATAAGCACACTGCATTTTCAGGGTTTATCGTGAAAACATTGTTTTTTCATTGCGAGCACGTGGATAAAATCGAGAGGCCACCGTAGGTAGACTCGAACGACCTACCCTAAAAATACTGTAATAAACTGTTTTATTATCTATATACTACCATCTGGTGTATTTCTCCATCCATCCATACGACTTCTAAGCCTAATGATCAGTTTTTACGCGGAGGAATACAAAGGACCTTAAAATTGTGTAAAGGGATATTTTGAAACAGTATTCCTATCAAAAGTATCTCAGTACGCAATGCTACGATTGATATGGTGCTGTTATCATCGGAATATTTTTTCCATGATTTTATAATGATTTGTTTATGACGGTGGGTTTTTTACGCGGAACACCGTTGTGTTGAAACTATTTCCTTTTCGTTTTGAGAAAATCCATTCTCAAATCGTTCTAAACGTCTTCTCAAGTGTTATCATACTGTCAACCCGTAATCATTAATTAATCATGATAATGGTTGGTGGTAAAATTGGTTTTCATGTTTATCTAACTCTCATCGGTTAATTCTGAAAAAGTATAAAGACATGCGATTTATCGAGTGTCTCTTACAATTTTAAAATTAACAAATGAGATTTAGATAGACATGAAAACCAATCATCACGAGTTTGGGGACTTTTTTCTCCAATTATGTTCAGATATTTTATCTAGAAAACCACATGGTTACCCTGGAAACTCATTATACCTGTTTCGGAGACAATTTGCCATGCAGTGTGAAGTCACATTGGAAGATGACGTCACAAAGAATTGTTATTTTACGTCATAACTAAAAGATTGACCAATGCAATAACGTTCAAGGTATTAGCAACAAGTGGGAATGCAAACATGTTTACCAACTCCTAGAAGGTGTATGCATTGAGTCGGGAGTGAGGAAACATAATGTGGCTGAGGTAGAAATAAGCATTCCAAACTTAACTTCGGAAATGAGAAAATTCTGTGCTCATTTGATATAAACTGACATTTTAAGTCCTGTTTGAAATAATAGGACTCACATAATATTTATCCTACATACCATTCTCTATCCCGCAGGTCTACCTACATGTCGCTAGAGGACAACGGAAGCAAAGACAAGATACCTTTCTATGAAAATAATGGATACCTCTCAGAAGAGGGACTTACCCGACTTTAGTAAAAGTTGTATCCATTTAACGGGAAAACATATATAAATCATTTGTCTTCTTCGCATAGCGGCATTCAACAATCCTCTTTGTGTATATCAGAAACGGTTACATTGTGCAGACATGAGTTAGAGGTTATTGTCAAACCTAATTGTGTTGATATCTGGTATAATTTATATTATCATGTAACAATAAATAGTATTATATATATAAATATCATTAATATAACAATTACTTCATTCGGGTGGTAAATCACAAAAAAACAGACAATAGAGTCTGCCTGTAAAAAAAACTACCCAAAAAGCTGGAAACAATGTGAGTCATTGACATTTAAAATTGCAACAGTGTATCCTTTTAAAAAATGCACATACTTTTGCTACGTCAGGTCCGATCAAAGTACAACCTGCTACTATTGTGGTACTATCAGTACATTCTAGTTTTTAAACGTTAAAGGTGTAACACTTTTCGCCTGTTATTTTACACGCACAATACAAGCAGGAACTCAAAATAAAAATGGACAACATTTTGACAAAGATAGAAAAGATGGTATTGTACCAGAAACGTGTTTATATCTTGATTTGTTCGAGCACCCTGTTTGCTGGACTGTATGAAATGATGTCAATGATGTTACTTTATTAACCTGATAACAGGTAAACGACATTTAACTAATTAGTATTTATCGGTATCTATTTAAGGTTTAATTATTTCAAGGATCAATTTTAAGCTGTCTTGACGTTTTGATGGCTCTGTAAATAAGCGTCGTATTTCATACCAAATCACTTATGAAAGATGAAATAAAAAACTAAGAACAAATGAATAAATAAATGAATGTATAACATTCTTGACCAATCATTATAATCCTACATAAAAAGTACAGTTTTCTATGATAATATATGTAAATAACTTACTGGTACATCATGGTTCTCCTTGGACTGAAGAATGATACATACATGTATACTGTACAAAGTATCTATCACCAGGACCTTGTCAACAACTACATATCACCTTCATCGGAGGATACCATCCATAGCTATGACCAGTGCCACCTGTACTCGTTTGATAACGAAAATATCAAGTTCGACAACTCCATCAGGCCGATTAATGCCTCACTCGCAGGTTTCGATTGAATTTCGGGTCTATCAATAGTTAAACCTTTCACTAAATATGATTGACTAGATGATCGCTGTGGGATGGGAGACGATTTTATTTGTAGACGAGTATTGTGAATCCATAATGTCAAAAGTAGGGGTGTTTTCGTTTGTCAGGTTCGAGTGAATTTTGATCTTATCTGTAGTCGAATTTTGTGTCAAAGATTTCCGCTATATATGATTCACCAGGCCGCGATAGATGACCTGTGTGCTTATGTAAACGTGGTTTTGATTGGTTACAATTGTCAAAATTAGGGGGTGTTTTCTATGAACTGTTTCGAGTGGGTTCCGATCCTACTTGTATAAACACAAAAAAATAATAAAAAACAGTCTTTATTATTGTCAAATTTATAAAGATAATGTCAGTATTAGTAATTCACAAAGATGTTTTTTCTCTTATTCTATTCATAGTGTCTACAATTGCAGTTCAACATTGTGTGTGATGATACACATCTTATACCATTGGTCACGGCTGTAGATCTCATCATTCTAAGGGAACAAACGACGCCAATTCGTATTCAGTTGTTGAACAGATTGACTGTAATTAACACAAACTATAAAGTTACACATATGAATCCTACAAACGCATTGCACTATATAACAAGCTAGCATGCACAAATGCGAATTTATCGTAATGAAAATGTTTAAGTGATTGTCACGTATCGTTTACAATCTTTAACTTTATGTCATTAAACAGTCCGATGTATCACAAGTATTCTGGTTTATATTCAGTTATATTCAGCATGCTTTGCGACCATGTTCCCATCGTACATCCCATAATCAGGGCGAGAGTAAAATTAGAACAAAATCCGTAATTACTAAATTTGGAACAGGATCCTACCTGGATCCGGAATCGTTGAAATAGGCCAATACATACCGGCCCCTTAATCGAGACTTAAGGCGAGATTATCATAAATTCACTTAGCATATTAGAGACGGAAACATACTTTGTAACTAAGTCTTAATATAATTAAACTGTTCAAAGTACTTCTCGACTGATTGTAACTCGCTCACAGAACTGTGTTGATCTTAATGGGAAGTGTCCGCTTCGAGAATAAGAACAAGTTTGGCTACTGGACACGTTAACACGTTTGTCGCTGTTCTAATTTCACAAATCGCACTACGTCGTGTTTATCCTTCACAACCTCCTGAATCCTACCGATGACCCAAGAATGAGTGTTATCCGCAATCATCACCAAGTCTCCTGTTTTCATGTTTCGCTTCTTTTGTATCCATTTCTGTCTCTTTTGCTGTAAGAGTAGGTACTCTGCAGTCCACCTTCTCCAGAACATATCTGCCAGATACTGAATTTGTCACCATTTCCTTCTACAGTAGTTGTCTGTTTTGTCAAACGTTCCCGGAGGGAACCACTCTCCTGGAAGAAGAGGTAGTAGGTTGTTTGGAGTAAGAACCTCTAGATCAGTTAACGTCGTCCGATGCTTCAGTCAATGGGCGTCCATTTAAGATGGACTCTACTTCACAGAAAAGGGTTTGAAGTCCTTCATCATCAAGTTTGATGTTCTGTTCTTGCATAAGAGAATATAACACTTGCCTGACAGATCTAATTAGTCTTTCCCAGACTCCGCCAAAGTGGGAACCTGCTGGAGGGTTGCATTCCCAATATATACCACTTTGAAGCATATTCTGATTAAGCTCATCGCGGTCCCACTTTTGGATGTTTTCTTGTATCTCTCTTTGAGCTCCCATGAGATTAGTTCCGTTGTCGGATCTGATAAACACCGGCTTTCCTCTACGAGCAATGAACCTACGAATTGCGTTAATACATGATTCAGTGTCCTTCGAAGCAGCAACCTCGAGGAGGACTGCGCGGGTAGTTAGGCAAGTGTAAAGTACTCCATACCTTTTCACGACACTTCTTCCACGTTTCAGCTCAAATGGGCCGAAGGAAGTCATTCTGATTCTGCTGAATAGAGGCTCATCTGCATTGAGTTTCTTAACCGGCAAGTTCGACATTTTTTGCTGACTACATGGATATCTTTATTTCCGGCAGACCACACATTTCGAGATCATAGATTTAATGTATGTCCGAGCTCCAATAATCCAATATCTTTATCACAGGATTTATCCTAAATTTCCGTATGCTTTGTGAGCGTCATCTATGAGAAGCTTAGACAACGCGGATTCTCTCCAATATGCCTCCCACTCGAACTAGACCTTCTGTCAGGAACGGGTCCAACTTATACAGTTTTGATGACCGTTTCAGGATCAGTCGTCTTGAGAGCTTTCTTTCATCTTTCGCTGGAGTAGAGTGAGATCTGTTTCTGAAAGGCTGATACTCTGTCTGATCTTTTTGGTTTTTTCAACAGCACATTTTAAGTATCAAAGGCAGTCAGTAGCCAGCCTGTAGCTCTTCGCAGTTTTGACCAGTTAGAGAATTGGTTAAGCAATCTCTTCATTTCATCACAATTTGCATTTTCTGAAAGTGTAGGCGAAGAACAAACAGTTTTCTTCAACTCTGGGTCGTTCTCCACAGGTCACAGATTGGCTATTCGGATTCAGGTTTCCATTGGAATTCAGGTCCATTAAGCCACATCTAATTCTGCAAAAACTTAGAAATGTTCATGTCTCTTGAGGCGATATTAGGTGGATTATCCTTCGTATTCACGTAGTGCCACTGATCGTCGGTGGTTACTTCATGAATAAGGGCAATACGATTAGCAACAAACGTATGAAATCGCAGGTTTTTATTTACATTGTACGTAAGAACCGAAGTACTGTCAGTCAAGAAGAACGTCTCATCTACGTTGTAGTTTAAATGTTCGGTGACCATCTTGCACAATCTCACAAGTGACGCTGACCCGGTAAGCTACATCCTAGTACAGTCGCAGTCTTCAGGGGATCGACTCTGGCCTTTCCGAGTACAAACGAACAAAAAAGTTTGAGTCGTCAACGAGTCGTAGGGAAATCATCATACCAAATCCCACATCACTTGTGTAGGCGAATCAATGAAGTTGACAGGAACAGACATTGACTTATTCATCTTGTAGCATCGGTCAGTGGTTATGTTCTCAAGCTCTTGAAGCTGATTAAACAGTCATGCCAGTCCTTTAGATCCATTCCCGTGATTTCCTCATCCCATTCTTTCCCATCCTTGAAAAGTCTTTGCAATACCGACTTGGCTTTTAAGACAAAGGGAGATACAATTCCTAAAGGATCATGGACAGAGCTGGTAACGAAAGTATCCCTCGTCTGATGTTGGTTTGTTCTGTACTTGGATTTTGAATCCCAGCGAATCATTCTCTATGGACCAGTAAACTCCGAGAGCTCTCTCAATTGGTGGTTGACTATACAAGCTCCATGACCTTTAGCTTCCTTCCCTCGATCATCTTCTGGTATTGACTCAAAAACATTGCGACTATCGTTCATCCACTTAGTAATTCTAAATCATCCTGAATTGCACATTTTTGACACGTTGTGTACCAAGCTAATATCTTTCTTCTCTGTACGAACGGATGCAAGACAGTCGTCGACATAGGGATTTTTCTTCACCATGTCCTGAACTTCCCGTTTGAACTGTCCTTCACTATCTTCCACAGTACTCTAAAGAGCATAGTTACATACACTAGGAGATGATGTGGCTCCAAACAGATGGACTGTCATCCGAAAGATCTTAAGTTCGTTTTCAGTATTACCATTTTCCCACCAATAGAACCTCAAGTAGTTTCTCGCGTCCTCTGGAACTTTAACTTGGTAGAACATTGTTTCGATATCTCCAAGCACTGTGATTTGCTAGCACGAAATCTTATCAGTACGTCAAGGAGATCGTTAGTGATATCGCTTTATGTTGTGTGCACAGCTATTCTATCTATACCTCTTTAAATTATGTATACGGATACTATATCGGTAATGCTGACGTTGAATACACGGATAGTTTATTGATACCGCTGACTTATCGATTAGCTATTATATAGATAACGTTTGATTTTGTTTTCAAAGCTACTATATCGTACCGCTTCACCTTGTTAACAAGGCTTTTAAATCAGTACTGCTTTACATTGTAAACAAGGCT